CCCCAAAACCCCAAAACCCCAAAACCCCAAAACCCCGGGATGGTGAAGTTTGGTTGATATGGGATTTTTAAGAAAGTAGAGTTAGAGTTTGGTTTATGGACTTTTGGACGTGGTTTAAGAGTTTAGGATGTAATTTTGAACATGGAGGGTTTTTGGAAGTTGAATTATATGTGGGTGAAGTATGGGTTCGAAAAGTTATAGATAAAGGAGGTTCTTGAGGTTAAGTTTTTTATGATAAAAATGTTCATGAAGTAGAACCTCTATATCCCAACCTCAAAATTTCTAATACCTACAAATTTCTATTATTTCCACCCTCTAAAGCTCACTTGGATCCTCCCAGTCCCATCAAAGTTCATATTGTTACTAAAACTAATTAACTTTTTTACATGGGTTTAACAGGAGTAAATATTTTCATTTAGCTTAAAGCGTTCGCCAAAATAGCCAAAAGCTGAATGCTCATATTCTCGTTATAGTTCTTAGCCTCTTTCTGCCATATATTCCCATTCCCTCACAGAGGGCTGGTCATAATCATAGAGAGCCTCCGATTCAAAAATTTTGCGGGTTTTGGAACTGTCTTTACTTTCAAAATTTCTGACGCTGACTCTGTTTCAAGTTGTAGTTGAACTTTTAGGAGAAATTTCATGAAGATTTCATACAGAGATCTAGGAAATCTCAGGGAGAGGCATCAATTAGGCAAGTCCCCAGGTAAGACAACAATGTTTATTAGAGCCTCAGCTTGGGAGCGACCCTTGGTTGTTCTGAATGTTCTTTCTGTTCGAAATTAAAACATTGGTGAACTTGCCAATGTAAAAATTTGGTACAAATTTCTACTACCTCAAACTTAATTCAGTATGAATAATTTCTAATTTTGAGCTTATGCGGGCAATGCCATGATTAAGTGGACTTTCAAGATCTTAGACTGACTTGTTGATTGCATATTACAGCTTCGAAGGATTCTGGGGCTTTTTGTGTAAATTTTCCAAAATTAGTTTAAACGAGAGTCAATTAGCTGCAGAAATTGGCAAGTTTTCAGGATGTAAAGAGGAAAATAATAGTCATATTTTTGCAAAAGTAAGGCCATGTTACTTTCTTGATACGCCAGATGAGGATAACAGCTTCTATTTTTAATAAAGCAAGAACGTCTAGAACCCTATATGTTCTCGTAATTATAACGATTTGTGAACTCTTCTAAAAAGTTCAAGGAACTAGGCTAGTAGGTTTTATACCTATGAGGCTATAATGAGGTTACAGTTTCATAATTCACACACCAAAGAGCCCTGTTGTAGGCATTATTCGTCCATATTCCCTCCTCTTGCTGTCAAAAGCCAGACCAGAAGCTACAGACGTACTGTGATTTGAAGAATTTATGGCTAATGGCAGAACGAATAGAATTATTTTAGTCAACAAGTTTGGAATTCATTAGTTTCATTTATTTATTGGCAAATTCAGCTATCTCTTCTGAGTCAAATTTAAGCCACTTCAGGATTTTTGAGATTTTTAATAAAAAAAGCAAGAAATTATTAGAGAAGATATTTACAACATTTGCCTAAATCGTTAGTTTTCTGAATTTTTCACTCAAAGGACTTTCTAGTCTTCTGGATGAATCATGGAAAATTACTCTTGCAAGCTATTTAGAATATAATAATGATGCCTACAGGCTGTGTTAATCACATATTAAAGCCTGAAGGCCTTCCTGGCCTGTTTCGCAAAAGTCACCAACTCCCATTCAGGGCGTTCCTTTGATATAAATAAGAGAAATAATTCAGAAATTTATAATTAATTTTCTAAATTTGTAAGTAAATGGGCAAAACATTTTTGGTCGTTTGGAACCCTACTTATAATTTTGTGTAGGTAATGATTCCTCAAACAAACATGCTGTTCCCTCAACCTGAGCAAACCCAGGCTGTGCCTGCAACTGAGAGTGAAGAGATGAAGAAATGTCTGGAAGAAATGGTAAGTGAAGTCTTTTAAGAATTTTAAGAGAAATTCAGCTCTAATGGTTGCTCTATAGAGAACTCAATTTTTTAATTTCGTTCCGAAAATTAACTCAATGGAGGAGTATTGTCTCTGTGATGCTTATTACATGCAGTACTTTGATTATTCATTGTACTCAGAGTACTCTACTATGGTGGGAGGCTCTATGGACTTGATGAGTCCTCAGAAGCTGGCTCCATCTTTGAAGTCGGTGAGAAAGAGGAGGAGAAAGAATAACCTCCCTGACATCGATTCACATATCCAGGAAGTTCAGAGTCTTATTCAGTGTGGGGAACTCATGTACATTGAGTTCACTTCTAAGAACTCTAATGCTCTTACTGTAGACAATTGCAAGAGAAGGTCCAGATACACTGGAGTCTCTCGTAATGGAAAGAACTGGCAAGTCCTCGTTAATATGGGAAAAGAGAAGAAGTACATTGGTTCATATACTTCTGAGAAAGAGGCTGCTCTGGCCTATGATTTCTACACAGTTTGACTACATAAAGTAAAGGCAAAGACCAACTTTAGTTATCATTCCTCTCTGATAGAGAGCATGATTAACTCTTATTATCAAAATAACAACATGTTTGACCCCTCTTCCTTCATAAACTCAGTTTAGGAAGTCAGAGGGCGTTATTCACGACTAAGCTTTATTTCTAAAATATTTGATAGAATTTTGTTCCGTAAATCGTTCAATTAAGAGTATTCCACTAGGGGTTTTGGGGTTTTGGGGTTTTGGGGTTTTGGGG